CCACTGCAGTCCACCTGCTGTGGGTTGACCCACAATGCCATTTGTCCCAGTGACTGTGAAGGAATGATGATATATTTCCAAGTCAGGATGGTCAGTGTCTTGGAGGGGAACTTACAGGTGGTGGTGTTCCCATGTATCTGCTGCCCTTGTCCTTCCAGATGGAAGTGCTCATTGATTTGGAAGGTGCTGTCTTCGGATCTTTGGTGAATTTCTGCAGTACATCTTGTAGATAGTACACACTGCTGCTACTGAGCATCAATGGCAGAGGGAGTGGATGAGGAAGTAGTGCCAGTCAAGTGGGCTGCTTTGTCTTGAATGGTGTCAAGCTTCTTGACTGCTGTTGGAGCTACATCATCCAGGCAAGCGGGGAGTATTCCATCACACTCCTGACTTGTGCTTTGTATATGGTGGGACAGGTTTTCAAGAAAATTTGTAACTCTGGTTGTGGATGAGTTTGTAGACTTTCTTGACGAGCCAGTGGGTTTGGTTGCAAATGTTTCATCACGCTGCATCATCAGTGCACCTCCGGTGAAGAGTTGGTGTTCTATCCCGCTTGTTGTTTATATGCCTCAGTTTGTTGGGCTGTTTGGCACCACTTCCGGTCCTGTTTCTCAGAGGTTTGTACACAGGGTCTATTTCAATGTATTAGTTGATGGAGTTCAGGTGAGAATACCAGCCTCCAGGAATTCCCTGGCATGTCTCTGTTTGGCTTATGCGATTATGGATGTGTTGTCCCAGTGAAACCACTGAGAAATAGAACCGGAAGTGGTACCAAACACCCCAACAGACTGACATATATAAATAACAAGCGGGACAGAACACCAATGCTTCATCGGAGACGCGCTGACGATGTTACCCAGCAGAGTGACATTTGCAACCAAACCCGCCAGCTCGATGAACATGTCTACGACGTCATGGTGGACAGGCTTTGGGGAGTCAGGAGGTGAGTTATTTGCCACAGTATTCTGAGCCCCTGACATGCTCTTGAAACTATTGTTTTTATGTGGTGAGTCCAGTTGAGTTTCTGGTCAATGATAATCCCTAGGATATTGATAGTGGGGAATTCAGTGATGGTAACACCATTGGGGTGGTGGCTAGATTGTCTCTTATTAGTATGGTCATAGCTGACCATCAGTTTGCTGACGTTTCATTGGTACTCTGCTTGAAACCCACATTTGGTGAGAGCAAAATTGTTACACGTTTCTTTTTCATATATCCACTTATCATGCATGAACCCACAGTTTAACAACAGTTACACTAGTGCTACGTCTCATTCCACTCATGCCCTGACTTCCATTTGCACACTCTCCTACCCTGGTCACTGAATCCTGGACAAACCTCCCTTTCAGCTCATCATGCTCCACTCATTTGACTCTACCTCAGTTCTGACCTTACTTTACCACAAGGCTGTACACATGGCCTTCGACACTGGCCCTCTACCCATGCAAAAATAATTGGCTGGGCAAAAGACCATCTAACCCATGAAGGCACACTTGTGTGCTACGGTCTAGCGACCATGTAATCTCCTGGGAGAGACAGGACCAATATGCGAAGAAGAGTATTTTGGCAAATTTTGCTGCAAGCCTTCTCTGTTGATTGAAACCATCCAGGAGATCGAGTGGAGGTTGGACTGGAAAAGGATTCCTTCTTTCTTTTGTGCTTTGTGGATTACTGCAGCAGTAGCCAGGGCCTCTTGCCACTGGATTTTGGGATCCAAACCTGAGGAGCAGCCATTTCTTCAGCCAGAGCTGCCTTCAACGAGATCTTCAGCAGTGAATACATGGGAATTGTCTGGAGCTGTCGCTTCAAACAAATACGGGAAAGAAATATTGATTTGAATTTCCCTTAGCGGCCAGGCAGCTTGTGCTTTTTAAAAGCAGTTCTTCTTGTTTTGAAAATATATATAACAACAAAGATTTAAAACAGATCCATCCAGTCAAGAAGATGTCAATGCACCAAGTCAACATTGTCCCTGAAGTGTTCACTGGTTTAAGTCTTGTCAGCTGCTGAGAAAAGGAGGCTTGTTGTGGGGACTATAATGGTTGGGGGGAAAAGCACCATGTTACGTATTCATTATAGTCTGCAAGTTAGACGAAAGGACGTCAGTGTCACTCAAGCTACAACTGGTTTCCTGCAAACAATGATGATTTAATTATGGTGTTTTACTGTTGAACGTAACCTCTGCTGCAGAGTCAGAGCTGAGCAATTCACTGAAGATCAAAACACTTTTTTTTTCTTCTTTCTCCCAAATGCAGTCACTTTGTTCTTTCCCTCCTTGGCCACAATGTAAGACTTGCCTTTTTTTTTCCATAAAAACAAAATTATTATCGTTGCTCCTGTTTCATGCTGCAGCAACAGAAGTTGATAACTGTAGGGTGTATCCTGCCTGCCACTGAAGCATGAAGCAGGGATTGACTGCATGGATTGGAAATTATATGTAGGGAGCAGATGTGCAGTATCCACATCTGCACATCTACAATCAACATTTCAAATGGCTGTGACGCACCAGCAGTAGAGCTCACTTATCAGTGCTGGAGTACCCCATCTGTCCCCTCAGGTCAATGTGAAAGGACCCATGATACAATTTTCAAGAAGGTCAGGGGAGTTTAATTTTCCTTTGGTTAACATCACAAACATATTATCATTTTAGTGTTTGAGGAAGCTTCCTAGGCACAAATGGGCTGCTGCATTTCCTGTCTAAGAGCAAAGGCTACATTACAGAAGGAACTGGTTTGGCTGGAGTGTACTGTGGTCGAGAATAGTGCTGTAAAAATGCGAGTTCTTTGCCAGTGCCAGTGAAATCAGTGTTGTCACTTCAAGAATGCCCCAACTTTCAGATCCTGGATTAAAATCATAAATATGCACACCTACTTACTATGAATTAACATCTTTCTGATGCCTGTACTGTATCAAACTATGTATCCAATAAACTTAATTTATTGCTTAAGAAAGGCTGAAGAAACTGCCAAGCTCTAACATTTTTCAACCTTATCACTAATTACAATTTGTAAAAACTGCTTCTTTTCATTTCTTTTATTTTTTGATTGTGGCCTGAAAGAAAAAGGTACTGCTTTAAACCAAGGAGACCCTGCAGAGAGATAGCTATAGTTTTGTACATCATGTTCACTGGAGTTGCGTGAAATATCACCTTTCTTTGCAACAGTGCGAGCAAAGGCAGGTACCATGGAGTCGATGGGTCCTGAATCAAATGGGACAGCAACATCTTGGTTGGCTCCCGACCAAGTTTCAGTGCTTGTGTTTGGCCAGCGTGGTGGGGGAACCTCGAGCCTGCAAAGTGAAAGCATCAGAAAATCTCTCTGTGTCATCTCTTGCCCTCCCTCACTGTGGTAGTGCGCTGGACATCAAGCCTTAGCAGTCCTAGAATTGACACAAAAGTTGAAGATTTTATCAAAATTCACAGAGTTCCCTAATTTACCTGATTTTCAGATCCAGGTTGACAAAAACCATGGACAGGTTTTTGTATTTGATACAAATTTTTATTCTCGACGAGTAAGGAGGTTTTTTGATTCAAATAAGTAATTCTGAGCTGTCAGCCTTTAACTCGACTAGTTAGAACTCTAACTCCTTTATAAGCTCCCTCTCTACACACAGACAGTCACAGACAGCAAAATAAATGGTGTTATGGGCAGTAGGAAAGAATGGGAAGATAGTCCAGTGGTCCCTGTCCACAGAGTTTGCTGAGGTGGTTCTTGTGCTGATCAGATCATTCTTCCTTCTCCAGGTGTTTTCACTTGTTTGCAGAAAGTGCAGGGTGAATGGTTTACACTTTTATAAAGGACTTTGACTCACTAATTATAAGTCACAGTTTATAGCAACTGTTGAAAGAAAAATAAACTAGCTTTCTTCGGGGTTACAGTGTTTTTTCTCTACGGAGGACAGAGACAACTTGCGGAAGTCTGGCAGCTTTTCATTATCTTGTTCACAGCCTCATCCTGTTGAGCTATCTGGGAGCTAATCTTGCATTTTTAACAGGCAGAAGGCCTTTGTCATTGATAAACCATCCACAGAACAAACAGCTACTTGTTGCTGGCTGAATCTCCATTTGTACAAACCCCCAGGCTCCAGCTCATTTTTGAACCTATTTCCATTGTGACCTGAACCAGCAGCTGTGTAAACTGGACTTACAATGAGTGTCAGGTTACTTGCTTTTAAAAACTGCAGTGATCCTTCAACAGTTCTTGGTTTTAAAATAGTTTTTATTCCCATTTCAGTCCACAATCAAAAGCACAAAAAAAGTTGTATATCCACTCTCTCAGAAGTGCCAACAAGTCTCCAGTAACTGCTAACTATCTTCCACTCTCCTTTCTCTGCAAAATCACTTATTAATTGAGGAATAAAACAGCTTCACAGACAATGAAAGGGCAAATTCTCAGCCAGTAAATGACAGCATTAATGCATGAACAGTCTTGTTTCATCAGTGAAGAACTTAAAAGGAATTGAAAGGAAGGGAAAGAAGACAACTGATTGAATCTTGTGGTCCAGACTGGTGCTAAAGAAACAATATTTAACTTAGATTTCTTTTTCCTTTTCCATCTTTAATATCCATATCTTGTCTATTTTTAAGTATCTGTCTCTATGTCAGAGGAGGGAGTTAAAAGGGGTATTTAAGTGATAGTGAGTTATAAATTAGCAATTTGTGTTTCTTAATTGCCATCGGTTGCAAACAATTAGTCTGCAATGTGCAGTTACTTCCTTGTGAAGTACAGAAACCTGGCCAGTTCTTTCTTTTACCTTGAATTCCATCAGTCAGGTAAACTGGGGATTTTGGATCATTTGACTAATTCTTTTCACATTTATGACAACCCTTTTCATATTTATGAATAGTGATGCTTAATTTCACGAGCACTGTCCTAGTGAGTTGTGACAAATTTCACTTTACGATCCGAATTTCTCAGAAATTAAGACAACACTTACAGTTTTTTTTTAAAAATCCTGTGTTTAAAAATGTGTTAATATTTACAATTTTTTTTAAATCAAAGTTTTGGCATGATTCATGATGGAGAAGGGAACCCATGTCGGAAGACGGAAGGTAATATCATGTCACCAACCCTGGCTGGGAACAATGGCATATTCTCATGGTCGGCATGCAGTAGACAGTATCTCAGCAGGTTCCTCAGGTAGGTTGATAATTTACTATCAACTGAATCTTTATTTTCAACGGATTTCCAATTTGTTCAGTGTTAATCATGCCCAGTTCTTCCAGTACAGTTACAACAATGGCATCTACCCAAGAATGTAGAAATTTGCCCAGGTATGCCCTGTATATAAAAATCAGGACAAATCCAACCCGGCCAATTCCCGCCCCATCAGTCTACTCTCAATCATCAGTAAAGTGATGGAAGGTGTCATCAACAGTGCTATCAAGCAGCGCCTGCTCAGCAATAATCTGTTCAGTTTGGGTTCTGCCAGGACCACTGACTACAGTGTTGGTTCAAACAAGAGCTGTATTCCAGAGGTGAGGTGAGAGTAACAATCCTTGACACCAACGCTGCATTCAACCAAGTGTGGTATCAAGTTGCTCCAGCAATGTTAGGGTCAATGCATATCAGGGTGCAAACTCTCCACTGGTGAGAGTCATACCTGACACATAGGAAGATGGTTATGGTTGTTGGATGTCAGTCATCTCAGCTCCTGGATATCTCTGCAGGACTTCCTCAGGGTAGTGTCTCAGGCCCAACCATCTTCAGCTGCTTCATCAATGACCTTCCCTCCATCATCAGTTCAGAAGTGGGGATGTTCACCGATGATTGCACAATGTTCAGCACAAATTGCAACTCCTAAGACACTGAAGTAGTCCATGTTCAACTGCAACAAGATCTGGACAATATCCAGGCTTGGGCTGACAAGTGGCAAGTAATTTTCATGCCACACAAATGCCAAGCTATGACCATTACACAATCTAACCACTGCCCCTTGACATTGAATTGCATTACCATCACAGAATACCTCCATATCGATATTCTGGGAGTTATCATTGACCAGAAACTCAACTGGACTCACCACATAAACACCGTGGCTACAAGAACAGGTCAGAAGCCAGGAATACTGTGATTAGTAATCCATATACTGACTTGCTAAAGCCTGTCCATCATCTACAAGGCACAAGTCAGGAGTGTGACGGAATACTCCCCACTTGCCTAGATGTATAGAGCTCCAAAAACACTCAAGAGTCTTGACGCCATCCAGGATAAAGCAGCCCACTTGATTGGCACCACCTTCACAAGCATCCACTCCCTCCACCACTGATATTCACTAGCAGCAGTGTGTACTATCTAAAAGATGCACAGCAGAAATTCACTAAAGATCCTCAGACAGCACCTTCCAAACCCATGATCACTTCCATCTAGAAGGACAAGGGCAGCAGATACGGGGGAACACCACCACCTGCAAGTTCCCTCCAAGCCACTGACCATCCTGACTTGGAAACATATCGCCGTTCCTTCGCTGTTGCTGGGTCAAAATCCTGGAATTGTCTCCCTAATGGCATTGTGGTTCAACCCACAGCAGATGGACTGCAACAGTTCAAGAAGGCAGCTCACCACCACCTTCTCAAGGGCAACTAGGGACGGGAAATGCTGGCCAGTCAGTGACACCCACATCCCACGTCCCATGACTGAATTAAAATATACTGTTGATCTTCTGGTCACAAGGGTAACCACTTGTACACTAAGAAATGACAAAGGTGAGAAAGTTGGTACAACCCAAAGAGTTCAAAGTTGTAACTGAGAAGGTGACTGATTTGGAACTGACCTGATCACAACAGATGGCCTGGTCCTCTCTCAAAAGCGTGGGAGTCAGTTGACAACATGAGCCCAATGTACTGAGGTATCAACTGGTACTTCAATCTAGAGATCATTGGATGAATTTGGACTGAACCCCAACTCAAAATGAACTTCAGTCCTAAAGAAAAGCAGCTAGCAGTTGGCGTCATTCAGCATTCAAATAGTTTCTCCCTAAATGCATTTCCTTCCATTGCTGGAAAAGCTGCCATTTTATTTGTTTGTCCCTAATTACCCTTGAGAACAGGTAAGAGTCAAGCACATTACTGTGAAGTCTGGAGACACACATTTCAGACCAGCTAAGAACAACAGATTCCCTTCCCCAAGTGACATTTATGAACCAGATAGACTTTAAAAACATTTGGTCATGGTCATCATACTGAGATTGGCATTCAAGCTTGGATTTTTGCTTTTAAATTTAACCCAGTTCAAATTCTACAGTTGCTGTTATGGGAGCTGAAGATATGCCTTTCAGGAATTAGCCTGGTTTTGTGGTCCAGTGATATTACCATGACATCACCATCTCTTGACCTCTTAACTATACTGTCTTATCCAGGATTCAGAATGGCATGTTCCAGGTGTTGGTTGGTTTGTTCTGAAGAAGGGTCACTCAACCCAAAACGTTAACTCTGATTTCTCTCCACAGATGCTGCCAGACCTGCTGAGCTCTTCCAGCAATTTCTGTTTGTGTTGGTTGGTCTCTGTTGTTTAGAGATGAGAACAGGCAGTTCAGCCTCTCAAGCCTGTTCCCTCTTTATATTAAATCAAAACTGTTATGTGCCTTGACTCTTTCATCCTTTATCTAACATCAAAGCCGATCCAACTTAGTTTTGAAATTTGCAATTGATTTGCAGTCTCAACAGATTGTTTTTGAAGAATAATTCTCAATTTCAAATATTGCTTGTGTGAAGTTCTTCTTCCTTCTGTATTATGTTTTGAGTCGTGTAGATCTGAATTCCCAGGGGCCAAGTAGATGAATGAAAGGTGATCAAATTAAAATTTCTTTCGGAGCTTTTCAGTGTAAAGGTGGAGAAATTAGTTTGCCTGTTGTCGACAGTCTGGCACACTAGGTCACATTCTTAGAATTAAGGCTTGGTTATTTTTTGGTACAGTTCTCATCGCCCTGCAATAGGAAGTAGATTATTAAATTGGAGAGGGTTCAGAAAAGATTTATGCGATGATGCTGGGAGTGGAAAGTTTGAATTATAAAGATAGGCTGCATAGACTAGGACTTCTTTCACTGGAGCATAGGAGGTTTAGGGGTGACCTTTATAGAGGTTTATAAAGTCATGAGGGGCATAGATAAAATGAATGGTCTTTTCCCTAGGGTAGGAGAGTAGAAAACTAGGAGCATTCTTTGAAGGTGAGAGGAGAAAGATTTAAGAAAGACATGAGGGGCAATCTTTTTACACAGAGTGGTTTGCATATGGAATGAACTGCCACAGGACATGGTGGATGCAGGTACAGTTACAACACTTACAAGACATTTGGATAAGTCGATGAATAGGAAAGGTTTGGAGGAATATTGGCCAAACACAGGCAAGTGGGACTAGTTTAGTTTGGGAACATTGTCGGCATGGACTAGTTGGACTAAAGGGTCTGTTTCCATGCTGTATGACTCTATGACCCTAATTAAGAAGAGGAGAATTTTCTTCACACAAAGGCACATGCATCACTTGGAATTTGCAGCTCCAGAGAGCAGTGGATGGTCAGTTGTTGAGTATACTCAATAATGAAGTTGTTAATTATTTTAGTACTAAGGGAACTAAGAGACATTGGGATAATGCAGGGAGTTGGGTTGAGGCAGGAAATCAGTGATGATCTTTTTAAATAGTGGAGCTAGTTCGAATGGTCAAGTAGCCTACTCCAACTTCTATTTTGTGTTTTTCTTAAGTTATTAATGGTCCGTTTCTAATTTTAAAGTTATGTCCCCTCATTCTGGACTCTCCCACCACAGGAAATAGTTTCTCGTTTATCAACCTGATCAATTCCTTTAATCATCTTAAACACCTCAATTAGATGCTAAGTATTGTCAGTAAAACATTCAACAAAAGAGCAGTCAATTCTGCACAGATGTGGTGAACAGGAAAATGTTCACAATGTCTTTGGAATCTCAGTAGAACCCAAACAATCACAGACAGTCGACAGTAAACTTCAGGAATTAAGTGAGGCGTTCCCTCAATTTGCAAGTTGCTGAAGCATCATTTTCTTTAAAAAGAATGTATACTTTCAGCTGTTCACCGCCTGCCTCTGCCCTCATACAACCTGATAGATTTATTTCTCAGTCTTAGACTTTGAATTGCCCATTCCTGAATGATGTAGGTTATTGATTCATTTGTGTGGAGGTTATGGATGAAATGCCTTTGGAGTGCCTGAGCTACAGGGCTGGCAATGGGTCTGCCAGTATAATGTGGAGCCAACAGTACATTGAAATAGGCTGAGGAGTGGCAGATGGAGTTTAATTTGGGTAAATGTGAAGTACTGCATTTTGGTAAAACAAACAAGGGCAGGACTTATACAATTAATGGTAGTGTTGTAGAGCAGAGAGACCAAAGAGCTCAGGTACATAATTCTTTGAAATTTGCATCACAGTTAGACAGGGTGGCTAAGAAGGCATTTAGCACACTTGCCTTCATTGCTCAGACATTCGAGTATAGGAGTTGGGATGTTACATTGAGGTTCTACAGGATGTTGATGAGGCCTCTTCTGGTGTACTGTCTGCAGTTCTGGTTGCCCTATTATAGGAAGGATATTATTAAACTGGAGAGAGTTCAGAAAAGAATTACCAGGATGTTGCCAGGAATGGAGGATTTGAGTTATAAAAATAGGCTAGAACTTTTTTCACTGGAATGTATGAGGTTAAGGGGTGACATTATAAACGTTTATAAAATCATGAGGGGCATAGATAAAGTGAATAGCAAAGGTCTTTACCCGAGGGTGGGGTGGTTCAAAACTTATTATTAACGTGAGAGGAGAAAGATTTAAAAAGGACATGAGAGGCAACAATTTTACACAGAGAGTGGCTCGTGTGTAGAATGAACTGCCAGAGGAAATGGTTGATGCAGATACAGTTACAACATTTAAAAGACATTTGAATAAGTTCATGAATAGGAAATGTTTGGAGTAATATAGGCCAAATGCAGGCAAGTGGGACTAGTTTAGTTTGGGAACATGATCAGTGTGGACTGATTGGACTGAAGGGTCTGTTTCCATGCAATATGACTCTATGAAAACATGTTGGGGCTGTTTCCTTTAGTTGAAGAATCTAGAAACAGGGATCATAGTCTCAGAATGAGGTGTCCCCATTTGGAAATGAGCTGAGGAGAAATTGTTGTGAATTTTTGGAATTCTCCACTCCAGAGCATTATGGATGCTGAGTTGTCAGTCCAGGGTATCCGGGGATGTGGGGATATGGTGGAAGAATGGAATATGGTAGATTTCCCTGGACCCTATTTAATGGCAAGATAGGCTTGAAAGGCCCATCTAAGTTTACTCCTGGTCTTTATGATGATGGAACAATCTCACATTTTTAAACATTCAGACAGAAAATGTGACACTTTGAACTCAATTTTAACCAAATAATTTCTGCCCTCTTCTATTTCCATGCCATTGTTCCAATTCCTAACTCCACACCCCATTCACCCCAAATTGCCACCATAGAAGAACAATAGCTGTAAAACTAGTCAATGATACACACTGATTCAACAAACTGGAGGTCCAATATGACCACTCCACTCATTCCCAAGTACTATAGTTTTGTTTTTGCTAGTTCTTTTTTCTATCTGCGACCCCGGTCTCTGTTGTCAGCTCTGGATCTTGCTGGGTGTTGTTCAGGAATAGCTACACATCCTTGTGTAAGCCTTAAGAAGCTGTTGTGTCAATGCACACAAGCTTGCTGTGCCATGCAATTCACTGAGCCATTGGAAAGCATAAAAAGCAGTAAATGGGCAGTCCTTAAGATGGCCATGGGGAAGGGTATCTTGCACTATACTTGCATTTCTCCTCCCTCTCCCCGCATCCCCCCCCCACACCCCCGTACCCCTACCAATCCAGTTTTATATCGAAACCTGCGACCAGTGGGAGCTCAGAATGCACTGTCCAGCTGGTAGCAACTAATTCAGTGTAGACTTTGGGCCAAACGTGGAATATTCTGGGTATAAACTTGGGAAAAACATTGTTCATATTGTAACAAAAATAGGAATAAATCAACTCTCACCCAAATCCCATAACTTCTCGTGCAAAGCCAAATTTGGTAGAGGGTGGAGGTATTGGTTCTGGGGAGGGCGTGGAGGGGCAGAGGGGTGTGGTTTGAGAGAGTGGTTGGAGAGAGGGCATGATTGCAGTGGGGTGTGTGAGCACAACAAACACTATCTTCACAGCACTGGACAGAATCTTGTTGAGTTGTCAGGAGCCTCTCAGCTCCTTCACTTCAGCTTCATCCTACCCTGGGCTTGCATAGCCCTTCCTTGCCAAACCCTCGTCCCCTTCCCCCATCCAGAAGTGACCAGCTGGCTACACTATTTTTAGTTACCATGGTTTTCATGTGGTGACTGTTCCCCTGAAGCTGTGTCATTAATTGGCCTTCATGAATTTCAGTGACCCGGTGGAACCACCATTCATTGCCCTTCCCAGCCAGAACTTAATTCTGCAGAAGTTGAGAAGATGGAAAGATTGGCACACCCCATTCTACATAATGACCTGCTGTTCACTCCTCCGCACATCTCACCCACACCCTCTCCCATGACCTTTGACCTCACCACCACAGGGAGCAGAAGAATCCTCAGTCTCTGCACACCCTTTCCACAATTGCATCTAATGCAGGAATCAAGATTATATCTTGACGCCTGACGTTGTTCCATCATTTCTTCTGTGTCTTTAAGTGAAAAATAAAGTTGTTCATACAATGTTTTCCTGAAGCAGGTTTCCTTATACTCTATACATTTAACCAGGCAAATCAAAGGATGCAGGTTATAACGAGAAAGAGGAATTGTTTAATTGTAGATTAAGGGATGAAACATTGTTCTGAGCAGTGGGATGTCAGTAAATAGTTTGCCAACAAAATGTCATCACTCACCCTGCAATCTCCAGTACAATGTTTAGCTAGTAACAGAAAATCAGTTACACTATCCTTTTCGGATTGTTCTGTCTTTTTGACTTTGTCTCCTCTCTAAGTCATGCTCGACCAGTCCAGATTTGTTTATGCCTCCACCTTACACATCCCTTTACGTGTCTGTGTTGTGTTTTTGTTCATAGTACGGCTCAGGCCTCCTGTCTGATTGATGAACCAAATCAACTGCATGAGTACCAATATCCCACAGGGCTGCCAGGGGAGCTATATGATGCTGACACCCAGTGCAAGTGGCAGTTCGGAACTAAAGCCAAGTTGTGCTCCCTCGACTTTGTGAAGGTACGTTCCTGGGTGCTGTAGCCCTTTTAAACTGTGTTCTTATTAATGGCATTTTCAGAATGTGATTTCATGGGAGACCTGGAGGGTGTCATCAAACATATTAAAATGTTGAATGGTTTCATTCTGAATCATGTAGAAGTCTTTGGAGTCTGTTCAGCCACTCAACTAGATAATGGATAATGTGCATCTCAAGTCCGTATACACCAGTTCTGTGGAAGAGTCATATCAGACTTGAAACATGAACTCGGATTCTCTTCCCACAGATGTTGCCAGATCTCAGTTTCTCCAGCACTTTCTGTTTTTATTCCGTTTACACCTGCCTTGGTCCCATAACCTGTAATGTCTTTCTGTAACAAAAATCTATCAATTCTCCTTTGTTGAAATGTTCTGTTGATCCCTCGGCCTCAACATCTCTTTGAAGGAGAGAGATTCTGCTGTTCACCATGTGAGATATGTTTCCTAATATCACCTCTGTATGACCTAGCTGTAATTTTAGTCTCCTGCTCCCTTGCTCTGGAGCTTGTCCATAAGTGGAAATAGTTTCATGGGGACTGGAGTCGATCTGTTCCACCATTCAATGAGATCATGGCTGATCTGTGGCCTAACTGCCTTTGGCCCATATTCGTTAATACCTTTGCTTAACAAAAGATTATTTATGTCAGATTTAAAACTAATAAATGATCTGTCATCAATTGCAGCTTATGGAAGAGAGTTCCAAAACTTTACCGTCGTTTGTGTGTTTCTCTCTCACCCACTCCATCCAATGCCTCAATATCTTGGACACTTCAATTAGATCTCCCTAATCTTTTTTATTTGAGGGAGTAGAAGGTAGTAATGGGGCAAAGAATTGCTTCTCCACTTGAATATCCAAGCAAGATTTTCCTTCATTCATTCTTAGGATGAGGGTGTCAATGGCCAGGCAGCATTTATTGCCCAGAGGGTAGGTTAAGAGTCAACCACATTGCTGTGGGTCTGGAGTCACATATTTTCCAGACCAGCTAAGGATGGCAGTTTCCCTCCCTAAAGGATATTAGTGAACCAGATGGGTTTTTCCTGACAATCGACAATAGATTCACGGTCATCATTAGATTTTTAATTCCAGATATTTACTGAATTCAAATTCCACCATCTGGCGAGATTCGAACCTGGGTCCCCAGGACATTACCTGAGTCTCTGGAATTAACAGTCCAGCAATAATACCACCAGGCCATCACCTCCCTATTTTATTTTTCTGTTAAAAAATTGCATTAATTGAAAGCACCTTACACTTTGAACAAATTTGACTTGATGAACCTAGCTTTAGACAGAGGCCTTGTGGCAGTGTCACTGCCTCAGAGCCAGAGGTTCCATGTCAGATTCAGGATTCGATGGCTGTGTCAGGTATATTCATAACATGACTGAATGTGTTGATATGTAGTCTGTCAACTCTTCCAATGACCTTTCGCCATTTACAATAACCTTCGATGTGGTACTTCATCAAATGCCTTCTGGAAATTGAAATACAAAACATCCATGGGTCCCCCTTTATCCACAGCACATGTTACTTCCTCAATGGACTCCAATAGATTGGTTAATTATGATTTCCATTTAATAAAACAATGTTCACATTATCCGATTACTTTCAAGTTATCTAAGTGGTCTGCTGTAGTATCCTTAATAATAGGATAGAACATAGAACATAGAACATAGAACATTACAGCGCAGTACAGGCCTTTCGGCCCTCGATGTTGCGCTGACCTGTGAAACCAATCTGAAGCCCATCTAACCTAAACTATTCCGTTATCATCCATATGTTTATCCAATGACCATTTAAATGCCCTTAAAGTGGGCGAGTCTACTATTTTTGCAGGCAGGGCATTCCACGCCCTTACTACTCTCTGAGTAAAGAACCTACCTCTGACATCTGTCCTATATCTATCACCCCTCAATTTAAAGCTATGTCCCCTCGTGCTAGCCATCACCATCTGAGGATAAAGGCTCCCACTGTCCACCCTATCTATTCCTCTGATCATCTTGTATGTCTAAATCAAGTCACCTCTTAACCTTCTTCTCTCTAACGAAAACAGCCTCAAGACCCTCAGCCTTTCCTTATAAGACCTTCCCTCCATACCAGGCAACATCCTGGTAAATCTCCTCTGCACCCTTTCCAATGCTTCCACATCCTTCCTATAATGCGGTGACCAGAACTGTATGCAATACTCCAAGTGTGGCCGCACCAGAGTTTTGTATAGCTGCAACATGACCTCATGGCTCCGAAGCTCAATCCCTCTACCAATAAAACCTAACATACTGTACGCCTTCTTAACAACGCTATCAACCTGGGTGGCAACTTTCAGTGATCTATGCACATGGACACCGAGATCTTTCTGCTCACCCACACTACCAAGAATCTTACCATTAGCCCAGTACTCTGTATTCCTGTTACTCCTTCCAAAGTGAATCACCTCACACTTTTCCGCATTAAACTCCATTTGCCACCTCTAAAAGGCAGTTAAGAGTCAACCACATTACTGTAGGTCTGGAGTCACATGTAGGCCAACAGTTTCCTTCCCCTGAGGGCATTAATGAACCAGATGAGTTTTCCCCCCAACAATTGATTCATAGTCATTAGATTCTTAATTCCAGATATTTATTGAATTCAAATTCCATCAGCTGCCATGGCAGGATTTGAACCTGGGTCCCCAGCATATTATGTGGGTTTCTGGATTAACAGGCCAGCTATAATACCACTAGGCTACACCATCCCCTCACATCCTTCTAACATTTCTCCTGTGACATGTTAAACAAACTGGACTGTACTTACTAGTTTTCTGTGTCCCCATTTTGATTATTAGTATCACATTCACTATCTCCCTGAGTTTAGGGATTTTTTGACAATTGATACTAACACATTTTTATGCCACTAGTCATTTCTTTTCGGTTCTTCGTATGAACTCCATCTGGACTCGGGCATTTGTCAGCCTGCAGATCCAGTCATTTACTCAGTACCAATTCTCTGGTGAATGTGAGTTTCCTGGAATTCCTCCCTCCATTCCATTTCACAATTTATTACTGCTTCTGGGATGTTAATTGTATTCTCTGTAGTGAATAATCATGCAAAATACATGTTGAATTCATCTGCCACCTCCTTAATTGCCATGATCAATTCTCTATAGGATCAGTGCTCTTTTTTTTAACACCCTTTTTAAAAATTAAGAAGTCTTCAATTTGTCTTTGTTTCTGTCTGGTTTTCTGTCAAGCTCCGATCTCCCCCTTTACTAATTTTTCAGTCGTTATATGCTATCTAATCTTCTGATGTGTCATTTACCTTTGCATAATTATATGCTTTTTCTTTAAGTCTGATAATATCTTTTAGAGATGACAATGCTCCATCTTTTAGAATTTTTCTTAGCAGTAGGAATGTGCCTATTCTGTGTATTCTGAAGTATTCCCTTCAATATCTGCCACTCTATGATTACTAACTTATCTTTTAACAGTATTTGACTTCACCTGAGCTAGATTTGCTTTCATGTCCTTATAATTACATTTATTTGTGTTTTAAAAATAGTCTTGGACAACTCTTCTCTACCTCAAATAGATTTAGAATTCAACTATGATATGGTCACTGCTATCTAGGGGCACCTTCAATATATGATCATCATTTAACCCGATCTCATTGCATAGTATCAAGTCCAGTGTACCTTGCTTTCTGCTCAGCTTCAGAACTTGGCGTTCTCAGAAACAATCACGAAAACATGCTTCAGCAAAACAAAGAACTCTGGATGCTGAAGATCTGAAACAAAACCAGAAGTTACTGGAGAAACCGAGCAGGTCTGGCAGCATCCATGGAGACAAAGCAGGGCTAATGTTTCGAGATCAGTGTTCCTTCCTCAGAAGCTGCCTGACCTGCTGAGTTGCGACCGCTATTTCTGTTTTTTGTTTAAGAACTTTTTGTCTCGGTGATCTTTGCCGAATGTATGGAACAAGCTGCGAGAGGAAGTAGTGAAGGCAGGTACAATTGTAACATACAAAAGGTATCTGGAAGGGTATATGAATAGGAAGGGTTGAGAGGAATATGGGCTAAATGCTGGCATACGGGACTAGATCAATTCAGGATATCTGGTTGGCATGGACGAGCTGGACCAAAGGGTCTGTTTCCATGCTGTGTAATTCTACTGTTTCCTCCAGTGTATATATGTCGATTAAAATCATCGTGATTGCTGTGCCTTTCTGACATGCTCCTGTTATTTCATCACTCAAGCTCTAAATCCACTGCCTCGTTTGGTTACTGTTAGGCTGGTGTTGACATCTTGGCTTTACAATTTCGCATCACTACTCAAACTGTTTTCACATCTTGGTTTTCTGAACTTAGGTCATCCCTTCTTATAACCGTTCCCTGTCAAGAAATCAGTGTCTTGCAGAGGCCAGGGACTGAGATGGATGAAGAAAAGTAGTGAGCAGTAGTATCATGATGTTATGGCCAGGAATGGAGAACAGTGTGCAAATGAGCTACTCCCTTTGGGTTATCTTGAGTTAATGGACAGCTTTCTCTGAATGAATCCAAGCTCTTGGACTGCACAGCCATTGTTTTCCTAGTAGCTGGCCTGTAATGATTAATTACTGCAGTAACTATATTTGACTTAATGAGGACAAAACAAAAACATAATGAGGCAAGCATTGAGGAAAATAAAAGCCACCCATCCTATTGAGCTCACTGTCCCCATGGGCAACATACACCCAGTGACTAGCTTTCCTCCTCCTCCTGCCGTGGGTGTAGCAGATCATTTGGATACTGCAAGATAGATGAAGTTAAAAAACATGTATTTGCTCAGTCCTCTTGCAACACTGCAGTTTACAGGAAGGATGTTGTGGAACTTGAAAGGATTCAGAAAAGATTTACAGGGATGTTGCCAGGGTTGGAAGCTATAGGGAGAGTCTGAATAGGCTGGGGTTATTTTCCCTGAAGCATCAGAGACTGAGGGATGACCTTATAGTGGTTTATAAAATTATGAGGGACATGG